GGGCCTGCCGCGGACGGGGCGTGTTCGGCTCCTCCCGCAGCCAGCCAGCTTCCCCAGCGCACGCGCTCCGACTCCTGTCGAGGAGCCTGCGTCTTCTAACGAGTTCACGGGGCTGCTGGTGCAGCGCAAGCTTAAGCCGCCTACGGTGAGCTGAAGCCTCCTCCCTGCTGGTGGTGTCACCAGCTCAAGGCTCGCAGATGCAAATAGCCACCTGCCCGGCCTGCGTTACACCCCGGGACAAGTGCGCCCGGCCCTTCCGCACGAATCAGCCCCGCTTCTTCTCAGCGCTTTAGCGGCGCGCATGGGAACGCCTGGCAAACAGCCGTTATCCACCGCGAAGGACGGAACGCAAGACTGAAGGACTTGAGGACTGCTTAACCACATGAGTAATCTACCAGCCATTTAAAACCCATTAGGTATCTTTGCGTTCAACCTACAGTTTCCCTCAGAAGCTGCTCTAAAGCACTTGGCTACAGGAATGATACTGTACCTCAGCAGCATACAAAAGCTAAGTAAGATGTGCCTGAATTTTTTCTAAATGCTCAGCAAAGATGGATTTATTAAGCATAATCAGAGGTGCATGCAGAACCGCAAAGCTGAGCTTAGCACCCAAAATGGAGTCAAGTTAGTTTCATGCCAAAACAGAGCTGGGTAAAGGTGATGGTAATAAGACTGTTCTCGGCATAATGACCAGTCAGCACAGCTCAGCTCACTTGCTCCAAGAGGGAGAAGGTCTCAGCAGAACAGAATCAAGCATTTCCCCTACTCCAACAAACACCTCAGCCAGAAATTACTGAACTGCTTGAGGGAAGCTACACTCCATCTTTCCTGGAAAGTCATAAAACCCAGGTTAAAAAGAGCAAGAAGAGAGAGCACAATTCCATAAGCAACCTAATGGTCAAGGCTGTCAGTTCACCACAAGGAGGGAGAAACCTGGGCTGATAGTACAATCCCAGTGATCTCTGCTCATGTTCCACTACCATCCTGAGACACAGCCCACCAGCCTAAGCACAGAGCTCTGCCTACGACACCTAGAGGAGAACACAGGGCAATAGGGAAGAAGAGAAACAGCCCTGCTGAGGTGAGTGGTAATGAGACAACACTGCCACTAGAGGGGCTGGCACAGATTAGTGAAAGCCAGTAGGGTTACAGCAACATAAAATCAAAGTATTACTGAAGCACTTTGGTATTTGCCTAAGAAATATTCAACCGTGCTGCTCTTTAAAAGCAAAAGAACAAAATAACCCAGTTCCAAAAGGTTACCTGCAGCAGAATCTTCCCTGGCACTCTGTCCTGAATCAATTGACTCAGAGGACACATCTTCCAGCAGTGATCCTCTTTCACTGTCATACCCTTCTTCAGCTTCTCTTCTATCCCAGAAGTTGGCCTCTTCATGCTCAGGTGGAACATGAACAGCCATCTCCTCCTCCTCCTCAGTAGGCTGTTCCGGCCTCTCATCTTCAAGCTGCTGAAACTCCTGATTGTTCTCACCAATGGAGTTTGGGTTTCTGATGGAAATGTCAGATTCAGCCTCTTTTGCACCACCTGTGACAGACAGGGAGACATGAATAAGCACTGAACAAATGTGCATTTCTTACCTCCAGCTACCTGCAGTGAAACACTGCCTTTGACAATTTTCTTGAGTCTTTTCACTTCAACACTTTAACACTTCAGCTTGTGTATTGCTTTCAGTACATTCTCAATCAACTTTCAGTATAATCTAATAAAATGTTTTATGGGATTTATGTAAGGTAGCAACCTCATGCAAGGTATCAGTGAAATATTGCAAGATGAAGTGTTTTCATTGTTGGTGACTTTATCAAAAATCACATGCTCAACATGAACTACTATAAGAGGAGCCTTGCTAAGAGCCTCTTCCATGTAAACAGGCAAAAATATGACAGCAGGGACACCTAAGATTTTAGGTGCACAGATACAGCACCCAGATTTTGCGTTAACCACTGGGTCTCTCATAATTACGTGCTAGCTAGTTCAGAAAAAAAAGGCTGCTCTAGATCCTCATAAAAATTCAGCGTGTTAGTATATGCACATCCCTGCTTCTTGAGAGGAGGAGGTGCAGACATGACCTGAGTGGCTCCCTCTAGCTAGATCCATGCATGGATCCCACTTGCCTTACACAGAACCTGGCCCTTAAGAGCAGACATGCTGAGCTCAGCATTTTCTCTCAGGATCTGTCCCTGGTCCGCCCATCATGATGCAAAAATATGCATTAAAAATAAGGGAATTCCCAGCAGATTCCACAAGGCCTTTTTCAGTTCTGCTCCCTCACACCCTTAAAGCTTCTCTGGGTTAAACAGTGTTGTCTGGCAGAGGGTTTTACTTCCATTTCACCTATTTATTAGCTGGTTTAATATCCTACCTTGAACGTGCAGCTGATCATCTTCCTGTTCTGGAACAGATGCAAGTGGGACACTCTCACTAGCAGATGAGTATTTACTCCTTAAAGAATATATTAATTCTTGAATATCATCCATCAGTGCACTCTCCTCATCATACAAATCCATTTCTTTCACCACCTCCTCTTTATTTTCTACCACTCTGGAATCCAGAACTTTTCCTACAAAATCCATAATGGTTGATTCTGAAAACTCAAGTATCTGGTCCAAAGCTTTTTCTGTATCTTCACTATTATGGCTTGCATTCTGAGCAAGCTCCATCTCCACCTTCATGTCGTGAAACATGGCTTCTATCTTGACCACATGCTGAAGCCCAAGGTACTTCTGTAGACGTATTACACGCTTTTCATCAAGAAAATCTCTCATTATTGTGAGCTGCTTTACAGACTCACTGAAGTCTGTTACAGTGCCATTTGTGGCTGCTGAGCTGTCAGCAGGGCTGGGAAAGCGTGTAGATTGATGATGTTCATTTCTTGTATGCTCTAAACTTTGCGCCTGTGAATCTTTCTGTGAAATACCCTCTGGGAGACCATCTTTCCTTTGGTTAAAATCATTGTTGTCTTCTGTGTCAGGAGAAGGGAAGTTATGTTCTTCAATAGCTGATGGTTCCTCAGCTTCAGGAGGCTCATCATCATCTTCCACAACATGTCCCATCTCATCCAGTTTAGCATCTTCACTTGCTGGCACATCAACTTCTTTGCTCCCAGTCTCGCTTGCATCTTGCACGCTGACAGGTTTTTTAGCCTCCTTAGAAGACAAGTTTGTTTCCTCTCCTGTTTCAGAGGCAGGATTTGTGCTTCCCAGAACAGCTTCACTTCGTAGTTCTAATTCAGGGTTTGTACTTTTAACATTTATTGCATCACCCTGTACACTTGCAGCCCTTGCTTGTGACAGCTTTGCACTTGCAGCATTCTCATCTTCCAGTAGCGCTTCCTCTCCTCGTTGGAGGCCTGGGTCATCTTCAGCATCTGGCTCTTCAGATTGCAGTTCTGGCCTTAGTGTTCTTTCTTCTGCTAAATTTGTGCCAATATTTCTGTCTGAATCTGCATCCTCAGTACGAGCAGTTCCTTCCCGAGTAAGATTATCTGTATTAGTATTCTGTGAAGTTCTTTTTGGTTTTTCTTCAGGGGAAGTTTTCTCGACACCTTCTTCAAATACTGTCATCTTGCCAAGATTTCTTGAAAGCTCTTCTTTCACATCTGCCTCTGAATACTCAATCTCATTTTCCCATGGCCTAGATTGCTCAACAGCTCTTCGATGGCTTGGGTCTCTCTCCCCTGCAGGGGTTTCTTTCATGTTTCTCATTTTCATTTCAGGTCCTTTAAGAGAGGTGGTTTTTTGATTTTCATGATCAGTCTCTCCTGACTGTTTCAAGTCATCTTCATGTCTTAGAAAGTCTTTCTCCACAGCGGGTGTTCTGGGCTCTGGTCTCTCTTTCAAGAGGTCAGTATCTTCTAAGTCACTTTGAGACGTATTTTTTACATCTTCCACTGGTTTGGCTGGAACATCAACAGAAGGCTTGTTCTCAACTCTTCCCTTCTTCATTTTCTCCCATAACTTTCTGTACTTTAAATCACTTTCCAAGACGTCTTCCACGGTGTCATCCTGAATTTTTTCCTCATCTTTCTCTATTTGAGCAAGCAGCACTCTTTCTGGACTTCTGTTGGTATCACCAACAGATGGTTTTAAAGCATCTTGCTTGCTTTTAGCAAATGACTTGGACTCCAGATCATCTCCTGCACTAGGCAAATTGTGAGGCTGAGGCACAGCTGTACTCTTCAGCTCTTCAGTATGTGGTTCAGTTCCATCAATGGTGAGCTGCTCTTCAAAATGTTCAGTTTTGTTTGTTTTTTCTTTCAAACCCAGATCACCTGAACCTACAGGTTCCTTCCTAACAAGTTCTTTGGAGAGATCCTCTGGCTGAGTTGTTGCTAGTGCTTCTCTTTTACTAATTAGCATCACTTCATCATTTTTCTCTTTTGTTTGTTTAGATTTGGACCTATCCACAGTTAAACTAGCACCCAGCTTCTCACTCTTACTGAAGGCATCCTTGATCATTAATGCATCTGAATCAGGTTCTTCCTCACTGTCTCTTTGGTTATCTAGCTCTGTAGCACCCTTTGCATCTTCATCAGCTTCATGATTCTGTGAGTTGATGTCATCATTTTCATCATCCTCTAGATCTGCTGGAGGTGCAGTTTCTTCCTCTGCCATAAAAGACAGCAAAGGAATTTCTTCAGCCTCATCTGCAAAGTCTGGCTCCTCCTCTGCACTAATGCTCAAATCTTCATCCAAATCATCTTCCAGTGATGTAACAAGGTGAGTCACTTCATCATCTGATACAACAGCATCAGCAGTTGAGCCAAATTTTGTTTTCAAGTTCACAGAGAGCTCTCTGTTTAAAAGTGTATAGGCATTGACTTCTTCATTGTCTTTGTCAAGTTGGCTGGTTTCACCCTGAGGAATACTGGTATTTTTGGCATTTTCACTTTCTAGCCCTTTTAGCTTCCCATGTAGCATTCCTTTCAAGTGCTCATGTGCAGTGTGATCTCCCTGAGAGTTTTCTTTGTGACTATTGACACTGGAGTCTCCCCCAGTATTTTCAGTTCCTTTTATAAGAGAACTGTCTTCCTCCTCTGTCATGGTGGGGGCTTCCTTGTCGTCTTCTGTGCTTAGCTCAAGATTGTCTGTCTCCAAAGCATCAAGGGACTTCACTGAATCATCCTGTTCAGTCTCCTCATCCATTTCAATTACTTCAGCTGGTTTTGCCCCCAAATCACTTGACTCAGTTTCGACTTCATCTGCTGTCGTCTCTTGCAATGACTTCAAGAGCTCCTCCACATTATAGTTATCAAAATCATCCCTTCCACCATCAAAGCAAACAAAGTCTGTTTCCTGAAATGAAAAACAAGATGTAGTCACAAATGGTATTTTCTTTATCACAGTGATGAGACCAAATCCATTTGGTCGGTTATAGAGAGATGCAGCAGCAAAGGAAATTATATTAATGGTGCAGAATTAACCCTTTGAGTCCTTAACTAAAACTCTCCTTGAAATCAGTGCAAGTTTTTCCCAAAGACTCTTAGAAACCTAAACAAAAAGCTTAAGGCTTAGCTCTGTCAAAGACCTCCTAGTGAGGAACAAACTGGAACTCAGCATTGGAGTTGACAGTATTATACTTCACCCATGCCATATAACCTGAATTAAGAACAAATCTATTGCTGAATGCCACTGAGGAGAAGAAAACAAACACCACTACGCTGGTCTATCACAATCTCTTTTAGCTGTCTCTCCTGAAATGACCAAGTCCTTCAAGCAGGTGCTGCCTGTCACAATTTCTGAAAAATAAATTGAACAACAGCATGAACTGCTGAACGTGATTTTGTAAGGGTCTGAAGCTGCACCCACAAACAGGCATTGCTCACACAACTCTGGATTTAATAGCTGTTAGTTCATGAAAGCCACATGTGTGTGTAAGGGATGAAGGGCCAACTCTAGAATCAAAGCGTATCAGGTTTTGTTTCTGATACCACTTTAAACTTCAAAAGTTTGGGAAGAGAAACAATGCTGACTACATACCAAACTGCCTATGTTTAAGGCAACCAGCAGCAGTTCTAGAGCTCAATCCAAACTGATTTTGTTAGAAGAAAGCCAGAATATTCAAGAAAATAAAGATCAATGCCCACATTTTGAGCTGGTGCTTAACACACTCATAGCTGCACAAACATTCCACCTGCCAGCAGGTATGTGAATCTCTGCACATACATAGCTGCTTACTAACCAAAGGTAACTAAGGATTGCTGATAATCCCATTCTTCTCCTCGGGGATTTTACTGAATGTTGAATTAAGAAACAGTAAGAAGCCAAAGTGAAAAATAACTAAGGAGACTTACATCTGTTGGTAATTCTAGCTCTTCATTGGAATAATTATGATTTATTTCAAGTAAATCCTTTGGAAAATATCCAAAATCGCTTCCAACCTGCCAGAAAACAAACACAAGGAAACAAAAAGCTGTAAAGAAGCCTTCAAAATCATGTGACTATGTTAAAATCCTAATTACAGACACTAGTAATAAACACATCAAAGTCATGGTCGAGTATTTCTAAATTATGTTTAGTACTGTGATTAAAAAGATTAGTAATACCTTGCTCATGCAAGAGTTTTCATTGAAGTTTTACACTTGCATTTCACAAAACTCTTAAGTTGGGAGGTTTCACTGTTCACATTTTAAAGCCTGGCTTGTAGTAAGTGATGAGGAGAGTCGGGAGTGAAGCCCAGGCATCCTGCTACACCTGCTTTAACTGCTGTTCTGCGTGTTCACTGGCACCACACACGCCTCAAGCACCTTGTAGAGCCATAGAATCATTAAGGTTGGAAAAGACCCTTGAGGTCATCAAGTACAACCATCAACCCAACACTACTATGACCACTAAGCCATGTCCTGAATTACCATGTCCACACTTTTTTGAACCCCTCCAGGGATGGTGACTCCACCACCTCCCTGGGCAGCCTGCTCCAACGCCTCACCACTCTTGCAGGAAAGAAATTCTTTCCAATGTCCAGTCAAAACCTCCCCTGGTGCAACTGAACCCCATTTCCTCTTGTCCTACCACTAGTTACTTGGGAGAAGAGACCAACCCCCACCTCACTCCAGCCTCCTTTCAGGTAGTTGTAGAGAGCAATATGGTCTCCCCTCAGGTTTGTCTTCTCCAGGCTAAGCAATCCCAGTTCCCTCAGCCACTCCTCATAAGCCATGTTCCCCAGACCCTTCAGCAGCTTCACTGCCCTTCTCTGGGCCCGCTCCAGCACCTCAATGTCTTTCTTACACCATGGCACCCAGAACTGAAGCCAGTGCTCAAGCTGTGGCCTCCCCAGTGCCAAGCCCAGGGGCACGATCCCTTCCCTACTCCTGCTGCACATCTTCAAGTATTAAGCATAAGAAGATCTTTGACTAATAAGAGCTACATCCATGCACAATATTACAGCCTGAAATATTTTTTTGTACTTAAAACAAAAAATTTTCTTAAAGTAGATGTTAGGAAAACGCAAAATTATACCTGAGGTTCTATTTTAGAACCTGTGTGGAAAATATACCCCTCCTGCCAATGCACCATTGCTCTTCAGTGACTAATACAAGCAGAAACCAGTGGCAGATGGCTATTTTCAAGCAAGTCAATGTGTGAAGCCAAGGCAAACAGCAGAAGACAAGAATCTCTTATCACTCACTGGATAAGATCTCCACAGTAATGCTCTCACTCAGAGTTCTGACAACAGCTGTCAAGCAGCCAATATTAATAGCAGCTATCACTACAGAGATTAGATAATCCAGGCAATTAGAGCCCGGTGGACACACCTAGAAAGGTAGAGTTCCTAGATGACCCAAACATTTAGGGTAAAAAAAAAAACAAAAAAACAAAAAAACACGTGTTGGTCACTTCCTCAATGTTTTGTTATAAAAGGAAGATGATTGTTGCCAATTTTTCTTGAAGAGTTTGTTTGGAAAGAGCAATCAAAGAACAAATTAAAAAGGAAATGAGTTATGTCAAACACAGGGATATACAGATATATGTATTGTTACACTGATATCACTGAAATAGGCTAATCTGGGCTGAATTTTTCTGGATTTAAGTGGCATAAAAAGAGGAAAACTGTATCCAGTAAATATGTACATTTTGTTGTGCAAGTGAAGTAAGCACTGATAGCTGAAAAAGGAAGCCCTATAACCTATTTCTGACTCAAATCTTACCTCCCATAGTTGATACTCTGAAGTTTGTTACACACACACACGTATATTTATATATAAAATTATTGCCTCATCTTTTGTAAGCACATGGAGGTAGTCTGTTATAGAAAAGAGATCATGTACGCAGGTTTATTATTGGGAATTACTGGGAATGGGAAATTAGGCTAGACAAGTCAAAACAAAAGCTTCCCTTTGTGCAACACACTATGATTTACTCTGAATTGGCCTGTTTCTCTCTACAAACTTCTATTCCAGTTTTAAATCATCTTTCTGAAAACCAAAAGCCAAAGCCTCAAAGTAGCCTCCTTATAGACTAATCTCCATGGCTACCATTATAATTAGGCATCACAATTTGAAACTCATTTAGTCTAATCCCAGCTGCTGACCACACAAGTCTTCTCTGCAGCAACCCAGTTTGCCACTTATGTAGTTTACAAGCCATAAGGGATCTGCATGTCCAAAATTTCATCTGCTCCTCTCTCTCCAAGTCCTCTCTTGTCAGGCAAAAAATGCCTCATTGTGCAGATAACAGAAAACATTCTTCATTCTCTACAGACCACGAGAGAGGAAAGGCACCAAGGACGCCAAATAAATGAGAAAAAAAGTGCATCCTTCATTTTCACTCCCTTCCCAGCTAAAATGCTGTGAGCAGATGAAACGCATAGCTGTGTATTCAGCATCTGTCTCCACCAGTGCCCACGTGTGACAGCCAGATGTGGCAGATAGACCAACCACCATGCCAGACCCTCGAACCACCTACCTCAGCGACAGAAAACTGATAGCCAGGAAAGAGGATACTCAAATGTCTTTAGTCTTAAAGCCCACATCCTTAAAAGCACAGGCATCACAGGTACCTAAACCTGCAGAATGCTGATCAAAGAAGAGTTGTTTCAATCTGCATTGTTAAGAAAATAGAGAAACAGGAAAAAATTCCCTAATTCTCCAAGTCCTCCAGATACACTGTCTTCCTGATTCACCTGAAATTTACCCCTCCTGTCTTACTTTTTATTACCCTATGTATAAGATCAAAAAAAAACACCCAAGAAAACAACAATCCCCCAAAAGCCACAATCTGCAAACAAGTCCAATTCTTGTAACATGAGGCCAGAAATAGTTTTTTTCAACATTAAATCAAAGGAATAAATCTCAGCTCTCTGCCAGAAGATAAAATAATCTTCTGCAGCAATAATTTAAAGAGTCTTTGCTGAAATGTTCTGTTAAAAAGTAGCAGTTTTTACTTGGAATTCTCTGAAGTAGTTTTGGAGTTCTGGACCCTGCTAAAGATAAGGGCAGAGCACAGGAGAAATACACAGGAGGAGAATCTACAGAACACAACTTGATGGTGTAAACCACGTGAGGTGGGTGCTGACCAGAAGACACAGCACAGTGGACAACAAAGAGTACCAGGTGTGCTCCACCTTTTGTCTTGGGGGAAAAAAAAAAAATATAAATCAAGAGTTTTCCTGGAACTGATGTACCCGTGAAATTTGTAACAAAATCACTATTAAATCATGGTCATAGCAGATTGTCCAAGCATTTGGCTTTGCTGTATTCATGAAGTTTGGACAGGTCTGCTAAAAACTGCATGTCTTATAATGTATAGAATGTATATTATAGCTGGGTTCCAGAATGCTTTCACATGCAAAATACTCACTGAGCTCTATGGGAGTTCTGCAAGCAATAAAATATGAGACTGGGAGCATAAAATAAAGGAACCACTGGCACAGGGGAAAAAAAAAAAAAAAACAACCAAACAGTAATGGCTTGGAATGGGTGGAGTGAATTGGAAAAGCAAAGGCAAATAAAGCCCAGGCACAACTGCTATAGAATTTTCCAGCCTTGGTGAAAGGCTCCCTTCTTATCAGACCATCTCCCTTTGGGTCAGAAATACGATTGTATATCTCATAGCTCCCCAAAATTGATTTCAGGATAAGAGCCTGTGTTTACAACTTGTCTGAAATGAGCCTGAGGAAGCTTCTCACACACATTCCCCTATCTCTGCTCCAGTTATCCCTGGATTTCAAAGTTTCTGTTATGCCCTAATAACCATTTTCCCAAAAAACTTTAGAGAATGGAAGAAGTCAGCAGGGTAGAAGCCCGGGATCAAACGATACACACGAGGACACAAAGTCACAGGATTAGATCCCAAAAGGGCTGCAGCAGAAGGTAACTCGCCTTGCCCCTGGAATTCATTTGCTCGCAGACCTCACCAGGAAGCCTGGTTTTAATTAGCAAGCGACAGCCTCCCCCTGCCTCCAGGGCTGCCTCCAGCAGGCATGGCTGGTATTCATAAATCAAGCTGCCCAGCCAAGTCTGGCACGGGAGAGACCCCAGTGCTATCTGTGGGTCAGGACAGGGAGGGACATGCCAGTGCCCTACTCCACAGGCAAGCGTTGGCACCTCTGACCCCGCTGCCACCTTTGCGCGCCAGTTGTTGCAACATTACAATTAATGCAGAAGCAAGCAATCAAACCAGGGTAAAAAAAAAAAATAAGGGTTATAGCCACCAACTGAAAGGTATTAGTATGTCATCACAGCCCTAAAAGGACGACAGAAAATAGTGTAATACGATTTTAAAAATTACAACAAATAAAATGGAGCTTTGCAATTCTTTTAGACCTGCCAACTTCAGCTTTTACTTGTTAAGCTCCAAGCAAACATCCTTTTGACTCAGAGACACGCCCAACTGTACGTGAGCTTCCTAACAGCAGATACTTAAACTGAATAGTAACTCAGCAATTACCTTAAACCTGCTGTCTGATCTTGCAGTCTGCCTTACACCTTGTTGGAAGATGCAAAATCGGCCCCACGCTGCTACTCCATGTCTCAAGAACTGGCAGCCCTGGAAACCTGTACTGGCTAATTAACCAAATTATTTATGGTATAGTAGATGTCAGAAGGGAATTACCAGCACGATACAATTATAAACTCTTCTTTAACCACGTGCTGCAATTTTCTGCTGCCTTCTGTATCATTCTAATGGGATTCAGCTCCTGCTGAGAGCTTGGCTGTCCACACCCAGCGTGAACTGGTTAGAGAAAGTGATACATCCTGCTTTTCACTAAACCACTAGTCCCACAGTCAACACCCAGGTGCTGCTTCAAACAGCCTAGAACACTGTCACAGGCAATCATGCACCAGCGGAAGAAAAGAAGTTGAAACAAATCATTTGGACAAAAAACAGCATGTGGAGAAAGAACAGCAGCCTCCAGACTGCCAGCATTTTCAAGGGAAATACACACAAATTGCTTTTCCTCCAGGGTATCTCAGTTCTGCTTCTGTGGGGTAAGTAAGGTGTTTATCATGAAACCTGAGAGGAGTGTTCTATGAAATAATTACAAGATGACCCTCCTTTCCCATTAACCCTGGAATTGCCCGAAGAAGACAAGGACTTGGACAAGACCACTACTCTGCAAGCTGCTACAATGTATCACTAAAGCTGAGAGACAGACCAGACTTTTTAAAAATCTAATTTGCCTTCATTCTTCTCAGTTTTAATATTTTTCTCCTCCAGTTCTGCATATAGCTGAGATAAAAAGTGGGAAATAGCAGGTGAATATTAAGAGAAACGTGATTAAAACATATATATAGAATGATGTTTAGGAGGATTACATGTAGAACAGGATGAGACCACATCAGAGGTAAAGGCAAGTGTGGGCTTAAGCCTCCCTAGACAGGAGGGAAGGTAAGCTCAGCTTCCAGGCAGGCTCATGGGCCACCACTTACAGCACTGCAACAGGAGGGTCTCAACATAAAGGCGGTTTTCTAACAGTTTTTAGCACGCATTAGCGTTGCCCATTTTTCACAGCACTTAATGCCTTAGGTTTGATAAAACCACATCCCTTTTCACACTGGTCTCAAGACAAAATGGCATCCATTATGTTGTTTAGCTATGTTCAAAACCCTAAGTGTTCTCATACGAGGCAAAAGGAAGGAAAAAAAGTACTTACACTTCCAGCCCAAAGCTCGATTGATTTTCCTATTAGTTTGTAATATACATACACTGCTTCTCCTTTCTTAAAATTCACGAAGCGACAATCTGGACCTTTAAAATCCTGCATTGCCTTCCCTCGACACATTAACACTGTCCAAAGAAAACAAAAAGAAGGATAATAGTTAAAATAAATAAATAAATAAACAAACCGTTTCACAAAAGATGTCTTTGCTAACTGGCAAAAAATAAGACCTCCCTGCATGCACCCCTTTCCTGTATTTTTCAGATTGGGCCAAGAGATAAGAATTTTACTTGCAGTATAAGCAAAATAAGGTGTTGGTTTTGGGTTTTTTGATTTTTTTTTTTTTTAAAAAGCAAGCTAACTGATTAGGATAGGCGTTTGACAAAGCACTTGAGAATTACATTTCAGAATTATGCTACAAAGCTAATTATTAACAGTAAATTAGATAGGCTGATAGATGACATCTATGTCCTAACGAAGGAGCTTTTTTCAGCGCATAAACAACACCCGGAGATTGGTTTTATGAAAAGAGGGGTTGCAAGGAAAAGAAAAAAAAAACAAATCCCAAGGAGCTGTGGGAATCTGAAAACTTGGTCGAGAGGAGAACGACGCTGGTAGGCGCCGCGTTTCCATTTTCCCGATTCTTCCCAATTTCCGTGTCAGAGCAAGAGGGAGAGGACTCCGAGCAATGTCCCCGCGGGGCAAGCGACGGTCGCATCCCTTCCCGGGGCCGCGGGGCCTCCCGGCCGTGCCG